CGTCACATATTATTGCATCTCTTACAGTAAACATTGCTGCTTTATTTAACTTCTCTGAAAGCACAATCCCTACTTTATTAGAGAAACAAATGTGATGGTCTAATGATCCCTTGTATCTTCATCGTTTCGAGTCATACATTATTCATTAGCGCATAGTGAATGTATCGCATCGTAGTATGCCAAAAATGTATTTGTGAATTACGAGAAACCTTACGTTAGCCAATAATATAATTGTATTACAGGAGAATTTATAATAATGAGTAGAAACCTTAGGAACGTAATTATTTTTACTGAAATTCCAAATAAGAATATCGTCGACGTATTGATTATTTGTTGCGTGGCGGGTGTTTTGTTAGAAATTATATTATTTAAAATTAATATATTGATTGTACGATTATTATTTAATATCTAATATATTGGATATAGATACTAAGTTATTTCTGATAGAACGAGATATTATATGTAGTATAGATAGGGGAAGGGAAGTGCGCCCGTGATTGTTCCTGTCTGTATATGCGTGTGTGCGATGCGAAAAAAAATAATAACGGCAAGACGCTGAAAGAAAAAAAAATTTTTTTTTTTTTATCTATAATGATCAATTAGATATGGTGTATACAACCCGTAAGAAGTCGTGTTAGTATTACTGACGTGTATCGTCGTGCGCCGCGTACATTGAAAGAAGAAGAGGAAGAAGAGAAACAGATTGTACACGTTTTATCTTTATATCTCGTTTTATCTCGGTATTGATCATGCCTAAGTGAAATGATCGCAAAATGAATTAAAATGCGGCGCACGTAGATATATCGCACACTGTTCTTGGGATCTTTTACAAATAGTTTTATATTCATTTTTATTGCATAAGTGGGATCGCATCATGTATATGCGACTACGATGCGCCGATGCATTTTATCGAAATTGTTCATGAGGCGATCCGCAACGTGTAGATATCTTGTAACTTGCATTTTTGTGTAGATCTAAGCGCGGTTTCACCGCTACGTGTCTTCGACAGGAAGAAAAGCGAATCAATGGCTTTTCTTCGTAACACAAACGAAACAAATACAGAAATATACTTTAACAATGGTTAATGTGGGAACATTGCACAAAAAAAGAAACAAACAGAAATATTGAATATCCTATGTTCATTCAACGTAGTCGAGAAACTTTTATCAAGCGTATCCAGAAATTTAATCGTTTAAGTCTACATACAATTCGTGTGTGCAAACCTCTTAAAGGGATTTGCATTCGTTTTAATTAAAATAGAACTTTCAGTTCGCAAGCGATTAACTCAATGGATTTTCATTATCGATCTGGGCAAATCTTACCGATTTTTCGATACAATTTTTTGCGTAGATCTTTGCGTGATGGAGAACAAGGATGTTTGACCGTGATAATGATAATATTATCTTTGTTAATTTGAACTTTTTGTGAATCTGTATCCCATAAACGCGCGTATACTTTCTTTTTTTTTTTTTATTATTATTTTCAGTAAAGATCGCAAAGGTCCTGTTCGAATAGATTTCTGAAAAATTGCGCTGAATGTTTAAACAAATATAAAAGAAAGGTGCACTTCACGATTGCGTGGCATTAAAAAATTCTTTTTAGCGTGAAATATTGTTTTAAACACAAGTCTAACAAAGTGGCGGTATTTCTCATTCATTTCGCTTATTTTTATCATGCTTTTACATTAAAATGCTGATGACAAACTTTGATACCAATCGGGTATCGATTATTTTTTATTTTACGGTGCTTCGCAGTATTTCTACTTGTATCTTTTTATTTATTGATGTGCTTGGACGTATAATTGTAGCATACACGACGAGAATATTCATTTCAATTTATTCATGCGTACATATTCAATAGTAGAATCGAAGTCGAATGTCGTCTAATAACGTATAGAATACTCCGGGCAACGATTTCAATGAAAAAAAGTTTAATGTATGAAAGAGGATATTATATTAAGAATCTATTGCTCGGATTATTTCTTACTTTATTTCAAATATATTCAGCTTATACAAAAAAATGTTGGTAATCGATTGGTTGAAGTACAATTGAAATTCACACGTATACAGGGTGTTTCATAAATCGTAAATTAGTTGTTTATGCAAGATTTAGTAATGCAGTGCGCTAATCATATTTTAGCATTGTTTCGTATTGAATGTATCATAACCTGCAGTAGAAATCGTTTCATGAATTTATTACATTAATACCTGTTTTTAGCTGTTAAAAAATTTGCATAAATAGATATTTTATGGTTATCTGGTTGCGCTTTCTTGTATTTTTGTGCATGAGCCTGGAAATTATTTAAACATCACAGTAATATGTTGTTGTTGTGTGTGTGTCAAATTCTTTCTATTGCATCGAATTATTGGCTCCTACTTGAATTATTACAATTTCATAATTCTTAAAAAAGAAACCAAAGTAGTACAGTACCTCACGATAGTATTGTGAAGGAATAGTGTTTTATTAATCTTCGAGTTAGTACGCCGTTTTAAGCCATATACACATGCGAGTGACCACGGAAAATGCATTGTTATAAACTACTCTTAATTTGCGAAGGAAAACCAAGTCATTAGAAGTGTTATTGCCTCACTGAATTATGCTCTATACAAAAATTTATTATTAACGCAATTATTTATTTTCATAATATTATTATTTATTTTTTGTTACTTAATTTTTTTTATATT